TGCGAGGTCCGGGACAAGCCAGGGGACCTTTGGCATGTGTGTCTGGGGGGCCAGGAAACCCCGGATTATTGGGGTTTGTTTTTCTCTTGGGGGAGGCTTCCGGCTTGTAAACATAGAAATAGGGGAATATGTTGCGTTGCTCTCTCCCCCGATCAAGTCCTGAGAGTATCCCCCCCCTCGCGTCTTGCTGTTGCGCAGGATTTGTGCGAACTGGCTTTGCAGGTGTGCTTTAAATCCATTATTTGCAGTTCGCTGCAGCGTGGGTCTCATTTCCGGATCGGCGTTGTGCTCCCGTCGTTCGGAATGGCGCTGTCGCCGTAGTGCAGGCAGCTTTTCTGGACCCTGCAGGTTTCGAAGGTCCCACATGCAGCGCATTTTTCGCAGGCCTCACAGGTCCCACAGACCCCGCGGGACCCACAAGTGTCGCAGGTCGTCCCGCAGATCCCACAGGTACCGGTGGGCTGACAGGTTTCACAGGTGTTTCGACATTCTCAGATCCAGAATTCCCCGATGGGTCCACATCTGGCTTGGTGGGGCGCTCGTCATTCCGCCCGGTCGCTCGACGCGTCGTCCTCGTCGCCCCAGCAGGGGATCTCGATCCAGCGGGGCCGCGCGGCCCCAGGACCCCATGTCCAGGAGCAGGAAGAGCAGGAGGAGGCGGAGCAGGAGGGGGAGGAGGAGGAGGAGGAGGAAGGAGGAGGAGGAGGAGGAGGAGAGAGGAGGAGGAGGAGGATGAGGAGTAGGAGGAGGAGGAGAAGGAGGAGGGGAGGAGGAGGAGGGTGGAGGGGGGAGGAGGACGGAGGAGGAGGGAGGGAGGAGGAGGAGGAGGAGGAGAGGAGGAGGAGGAGGTGAACGCCCGTCGCATCAAGAGTTCGGCTGCGCCCGGGCGCTGGCCACAACAACCATCACATCGGGGCTGCCGCGGTCGGCCTCCTGGGCGGTATTGCGCGCCGCACTCGGAGAGGCCCGAGGGCCCCCGTTGGGAGCCGGCATCCCCTCGCCTTCCCCGCCCCTGCCTCTCGGACTTCTCGGCCAGGGCCGAGCATGCGGCCAGGATTTGTTTGGTTCAGCGCGTCGCGCCGCTCGGCGCGATACGCAAATTACGCGGAGGAGGAGGAGAAGGAGGATGAGGAGGAGGAGGAGGAGAAGAAGGAGGAAGAGGACGAGGAGGAGGAGGAGGAGGAGGGGGAGGAGGGGGAGGAGGAGGAGATGCGTCAGCGTTCCACGCCTTTCCAGCCTTGCGCCCCACGAAGCAGGGCGGCGCGATGTCCGCTTGTAGGGCGCGGCGTGTGTCGCAGGGGCCGCCGCCGCGGCACGACGAGCCGCGCACAAGACGTCCGACGGCCCACCCGGGAAAGGGTGCGTGTGGAGGGCCGGGCCGGGAGTACAGTCGGGGCCCTGAAGAAGGAACCCTTTTGGTTGGGGAGGGGCTCCGCGTTCCTTAAGTGTTTCACAGCTTGCCTCAGGTTTTCCTTAGGTTTTCGATACGAAATCGAAGTTTAACTTGTGGAAAAAAAGGGGCCTCGTTCCTGATTTCTGGTTCCTTAGGTCAAGACCCTCACTGTACGCAAACTACGTCCCTTGCCCGATGCGTCAGCGTTCCAAGCTTTTTCCGGCCTTGCGCCCCACGAAGCAGGGTGGCATTATGTCAGCTTGTGAGGCGCGGCGTGTCGCAGGGGCCGCCGCCGCGGCACGACGAGCCGCGCACAAGACGTCCGCCTGCCCACCCGAGAAAGGGTGCGTGTGGAGGGCCGGGCCCGGAGCGGTCCTGAGAATTCGCCCCGGCGCCCCCAGGAGCAGCTGCTCGACAAGTTCGTTGCCGAGCGCACCGACTTGGAGAAGGACGCGGGCTCGACCGCGTGCACGCACGCGGGGAGGAGCAGGAGGAAGTGGGGCAGGGGGGGGGGGAGGAGCACAGGTGAGGGACGGGGAGGGGCGGGCAGGCAGAAAGGGGGGCACGGAGGGGGAGAGGGACAGGGAAGGGGGCGGATGGGAGGGGGAGGTGTTTGAAAGAGCCGGGGAGCGCGAGGGCGGGGGGCTGTTGGGGAGGACGGAACCGGGAGGAGGGAGTTGGGATGGGGGAAGGGGCAGAGGGGAGGGAACGGCAGTGGCAAGGGGGGACCTGGGCAATGGAGGGGCAGTAGAGGTGGAAAAGACGGGGCCGAGGGAGTGGAAGAGGCTGGCCGGGGGAGGTCGCGGATGCCACAGGCCCAGGTCAAACTGGCCCTTGCCAACGGCCCGACTTCGACGCCCACCATGACCCTGGACGTGTCAGGGGCACGTGACGGGGGATAGACTCAGAGAGATACACTTTGCTCATGTCTAATTCTTCGAAGGCTCTTTAATTCTTTCATTCGGGGCCAAGATACGTTCATTCTCATTGTTCCATCCTGGGCCTCTTCCTGGCCACTAGGGGGCCAGGAACAGTTAGAGACGGGCACACTTAGAAATGAGCACGATCAGAAGTGAGCGACGTGTGCGCATCGACCCCCAATCGCCAATTGATCGCCGACGGGGGCCCAACCGCCCGCCCCGCCCGGGAAAGTGCGGTCTCGCTACCGGGGGCCTGCAGTCAACCATGTAGGGGGCCACGCGGGAACCCTACCCCCTCCCACCCCCCCCCCCGCGAGTTCTGAAGGGGAGGGTGGGGTCCACTTCGCTTGGGAGCTCCGGAGCGAAGTGAACCCCAGCCTCGCCCTCAGAACTCGTGGGGGGCAGGGGTAGGGTTCGCATGCGGCCCCCTGCCATGGTAGTAAGGACGGGGCAACGTCCCAAGGCTACCCTTGCATCCTTGCCCCTTCGGTATTCGGCATCCTTCGGTATTCTGCTGCGCTCCGCACGGAAAGCGTTGACATGGCGTTCGTAAGGCCCTCGCATCCTTACCGCGCATCCCTACCATCCTGGCCGGATGCATCGTCGATCTATCGGCGATGCATCGCCGATTGCAGCTCGCCGCTTCCCTCACCGCTCCCCCCCACCGTTGTAAACTCCGACGGTTCCTGCCAGTGGGCCGTCTGCAGTCCAAGGGCCGTTCGGGCACGGAACCGGCACTCGAGGGGCCGAGGGGCGGACCTCTGACGCTCGGCGGAGGGCGGCGGGAGGCCTGCGCGAGCCGGCGGGGCAGAACGACGGCGTCCCTTCGCGACCGATACGTCACACGCCTGACACGCTTCGTGGCCCCGTAAAGATCGCACGGCTCTAGCGGCAGTGTGCGCATGGCGGCCCCGCACGCATTTCGGCACTCCGGCCCCGCACTCGGTTCGGCACATCCCTCATACGTTTCGTGGCCCCTTATAAGGAGCTCCAACGGAGGCCCCAGCGGCAGGTGGTCCGCATGGCGGCCCCGTACTCATTGCGGCACAGCCCTCACACGTTCTGTTTCCCAATAGGGGTCTGCACCGGAGGCTCCAGCGCCAGGGTTCGCATGGTGGCCCCGCACTCGATTCGGCACATCCCTCACATGTTTCGTGGCCCCATAAGGAGTTCCACCGGAGGCTCCCTGCGGCAGGGGGGTCCGCATGGCGGCCTCGCTCCCATTTCGGCACGCCCCTCACACGCTTTGCTTCCCCGTAGGGACGTGCCCCTCCTTCGTCACACGTTCGACCTGCCTTGCGGCACTCGCACCCGCATGCGGTCGCGCACGGCGGCGCGGCGCGGAGCAATTGAAGCGGGAGCGCGCAGCCTGGGCCAGCTCACGCAGCGTGGAGAAGCTGGATCCACCCATCGGGGATCCAGAGCCTCGCTCGCGAGGGGGCCGTCGCGAGAGGGGGAAGGGACGGGGGGAAGGAGGGCAAGGAGTGGCGCAAGAGGGGGGCAACGAAGCCGTGGTGAGGCAGTGCGACTGCCACACGCCGAGACATCAGGCGAAGCGCAGCTGGAGGGCGGCAACGGCCGCCCACCGTCACCACCCACCAAACCACCCCAATCCTCCTCCTCCTCCTCCTCCTCCTCCTCCTCCTCCTCCTCCTCCTGCCGAGCTTCGTGCCCTCCTCCTCCTCCTGCCTTCTCTGCCTCCTCCTCCTCCTCCTTCCTCCTCCTCCTCCTCCTCCCCTCCCCCCTCCCCCCTCCCCCTCCCCCTCCCCCCTCCTCCTCCTCCTCCTCCTCCTCCTCCTCCTAACCCAACCCGAAGGCATCAATTTGCCCTCCATTTCCAGTGGGGGGGGGGTCGGGGAACATTGAAAAAACACGTGTGGAACCCGTACCCCCCCCCCAACCCGAAATTCGGGTCTTCGGGTTGGGTTGGGGTGGTCTGGTAGGTAGTCAGACCAGCGAGGAGAACCCATGCAGCGTGCGGAGGCCTGCTCCGACCAGGAGGCAGCGGGGGGAAGCAGCAGGGCTCCGCACCGCGCGCGCTTTTTTCTTGACGGCGCGGCCCACGCGCGTGCAGCGGCGCGACGTGGACCGTCGGGCGAGGGGGACGCGCGCGGCGGCCGGCCCAGCTCACGCGGCGCGGAGGTACTTGATCCGCCCATACTCTTATGTCGGGCCTGTCCCCCTACAGGGGGATTTTCGACGAAATATCAAAGATACCCCAAAAGTACCCCAAAAGGGCCAAACACATGCTCCCAAAATAGTCCCCAGACCATTTTTGGACTATGTTTTGATCATGTGTGGGGTAGTTTTTATTTTTCGTTGAAAATCCCCCTTCTAGGGCGACGCGCCCGACTTAACCATACTCCGAGGTTCTTCATCAGGCGTCCGGGGGGCGTCACCCCCGCCGACAGCCCCACATCGACCCCCGTCGCGGGCAGCCACCGCGCGCCAGAGGCGCTCCGACCCCGGTCGCGGCGCGACTGCGAGGCGAGGTGGACCCCCCGTGGGGGGGTACCCCAAATCTGTTTAAGAAGCCCAGAGTAAGGTTAAGTCGGGCCTGTCCCTCTACAGGGGGAGTATCCGAAAACAGGCAAGAAATAGTCTGGGGACGATTTTTCCATTATTTGTGGACTATTTGTGGGTATGTTCTAATATTTGTTATTTTTCAGAGCTAGTCCGCCTGTAGGGGGACACGCCCGACTTAAGAGCATGGAGCAGCAGCAGCACTCGCCAGGGGGCCGCGGGGGGGCGGGGGAGGCGGGGAGACGAGGGGGAAGGGAGCCAGAGCGCTACAGTCGGGGCGCTGAAGAAGGAACCCTTTTCGTTGGGGAGGGGCTCGGTGTTCCTTGATTGTTTCGCAGCTTGCCTCAGGTTTCCCTTATGCTTTCGATGGGAAATCGAAGTTCAACGTATGGAACACTGGCGAAGGACCCAACCATATGCAGTGGTGAGTACCGTCTTTGTGAGCAACGCATTCGGTGGAGCTCCTTATAGGGCCACGAAACGCTGTGCTGGGTGTGGCGGGCGCGTGCGCCCCCCCCTGGGGCCTTCGGCGGAGCTCCCTATGGGGCCACGAAGCGCTGTGCTGGGTGTGGCGGACGCATGCGCCCCCCTCCACGGGGGCCTTCGGTGGAGCTCCCTATGGGGTCACGAAGCGCCGTGCTGGGTGTGGCGGACGCATGCGCCC